CCACCCGAGACCCAAAAACCCCCTTAGTCAATATATTGTTTTTAGCCCGTGGCCCAATCGACCCAAAATTCAAATTTTGACAGGAGCCCGCGCTATCCTGGCCAAATTGACACGCCTATTGTTGGGCTTTGGGTTGATTTGCTAGATTAATAATCTATTTGATATAATATTTTTTATATTATAATTATTCTCTTATTGATTTAAAAAAAAAAAATCATGGTTAAGGTTGATATAAAAATAAAAAATAAAATAAAATAAAAAAGAAGAGGCATGTGGATTAGAGAATTTATTGGTTGGTCTAGAGCAATGTTACGTGGTGCTCCATATATATTGTAATTGGTGAAAGAAGTGAAATTTATAATTTTGTATTGAATGATCGAAAAATATGTAGGAATATGATAATTTGTGATTGGCTAAGAATGTAGCCATATATAGTGTTCCTGAACCAACCAATAATTTTTCTGTCAATTAAGGGTTAGGAGTTAGATATATATATAGATAGCTAGGGTTTAAAACTCTGTTTTTAAGAGGTGTTTGTTTATTGTTTCTCTGGGATTGTCTGTCGTGAGATCATCAATGACTAAAACAAAACCAAAGTTCACAAATCGTAGAAAAAGCAAGGTATGTCTTTTACTCTTTTACATTACAACCATTAATTGAATTAAAGGAAACCAAATAGTTCTGCAATGCAAACCCTCCATCAAAGCACATGTATGCATATCATGTTTTTCTAGGGTTTTTTTTTCTTTCCCTCTCTCGGGTTCTTCTTTAAATATCTATGGATATATGTGAATATATAGTTCTTATATACAAACACACAGTCACTCACATGCATCTCTGCATTTCTATGCATGTTATTTGGAATTCTTTTAGTTTGTAATTATTTTTTTATAATAGGATATCAGGATAAGTCTGACTAATTCAGAGACTCGCGCAAAGTTACTGTATTCACGATACTTCATGAGACACTAAGGGCATGTTTGATTGACAAGATTAGAGCATAGGATTGAGATTATTAATTCGTAGGCCCAATAATACTGTGTTTGTTTTGAAATTTTGTTTTAGGATTATTAATTTAATAGATAATTAATCCAATAAATTTGTAGGATTATTAGCAATGGGGTATGGGTGAGATTATATATCCTGAGTTAGGAAATAAAATAAAAAGACTCTTTTACCCTTGACTAAAAATTAAAACACTTATTATTTTTATATAATTTTATATTTTAGAAGACTAAAAATAATTTTTAAAAATTTAAAAATATTTTTTGATATTTATTTTATCAAATTAGTTTATATTTTAAAAAAAATTAAAAAACAAACCAAACATGGTATTTGTATTTTGTATTGTTATTTTGCTTTTTATTTATTTATTTATAATTTTTTTTCAAAATCATGTTTATGAAGAAATTTTAATAAAGTAAAGATTGTGAAGAAATATTGACAAAGGGTTAAGATTGGAAAAGAAAATAAATATAGCTATAATTCTATATTCATATGTTTTCTTATCCAATGCAAATCAAACAATGGATAAGGGGATAATTTATCATACTAATCGAATTGGATAGTGAATACCATACTAATTTGATGGAATTATTAATACCTTCACTATTAGTCTTTTGAATCAAACATGGCCTAAGAAGTGGGATTAAGAGTTTGCACTTTTATGATTTTTTTTTTTTATTTTCTGGTTTTTTAAGAGCCAAAAATGTATTTGGGAAATTGCTCAAATAGCTTTTTTTTTTTTACTAAAAAAAGCTAATGTGACATTTAATTTTTTTTAGTTCATGACAAACAACTTTTTAACTTTTAATTTTTTTAATTAAAAATTAACTTTTTTGTATGCTCCTAAATGACTGATCACCAAGCTAATCCCTTGGTTACTCTTTTAATTTGTATTCAATTAGTCATTTTAATGTCATTAGGTTCAACTAGAAGCTGCAAAAAGCTAGGGCACCATTTGGGTTGTTGTTGAGATAGTTATGTTAGGCCTTATAATAATGCAATATCATCATTTTCTCTTCATTTTTCTTTTCTCATAATAAATTCAAGATTCAAACTTGACATTATTAGAATATGATAGGATGTCCCCTTGACTTGACGTTTACATCAATGTGGCTCAGTGAATGTTGAACTCAAATTATGATAAGATTAATTAACATTTATGTTTTTGAAAAGGATATGTATACAGAATTCATGTACAGAAACATATCTAAAAATTTGAGTCGGATTTAATTTATCATAGATAATGGAATATATTAAATTTTTTGAATATTTTTATATACGAATTTTGTGCATTTTCTTGACCTTTAACTAAAGTTTGGTCAATTCATAATTCCTAGAGGATTGAGTAATTGTTAGAGCCAAGCTAGCTTTCTTCACACGTAATTGTATTAATAAACAAATAAGTAACTTGGCCTGAAATGAGATTATAAGAACATAATGTATGTAGTCTTATCTCAAGTTTTACATTCCGTTTCGTGAGTGGAGGTGAGAAGAGAAATAATTGTGATTTCTTATCTAAGTGAGAAAAGAAATGAAATGATTATGGTTTTTCACCATTATATTTAGATAAATGAAAGAGAAGAAAATATGATTTTTTACTTATCTTGTTTAGATAGAGTAAGTAAGAGAAATGAAAAGAAAGTGCTTTATTTTATTTTATCAAAATAACCTTTTATATTAAACCATGTTTTTTTATAAGGTTAATTTTGATATTTTACACAAGTTTCATTAAACTCAATTCTTTTCTCACCAAATCTCACCACTTTTGATGAGAAACAAAACACAAGTTTGGTGAGAGTCCGTTTCTTACCATCTCTCACCATTTTTTGCCATTTCTCACATTACTTAACCTTCCAAACAAGTGAAGAGTTTCTAATTCTCATCATTTCATTTCTTTTCTCACCAAACCCCTCCATCCAAACAGAATGTTAAGATAGGCTATTTGTATGATTCAAACTCATGTCACCAAAACACTAATGACAAGCTTTTACCATTGAGTCAAGTTGCCCCTTTTTATCACATTCAATTGAATGCTTTCCTTAATTGTTCAAGCATCGAAACAACTTCACAAATAACCCCATCTTTTAAAATTTTACAATGTTCATTTTTCTTTTTTCTTTGTTGAGTGAATTTCAAAGCCACAAAATGCTAATATTGAAAGGGTCACCACATCAAATATGTTCAAACAATTTGACATTGTAATCCAACTCCTTTGGAATCCCAACAGGCAAGAAGAAATCAAACTACTTCAACAATGCATCAAGTGCAGTATACCAAAAGATCATGCAAGAGTGGAAAATCCTCCAAGAAAGCCTACCCAAAACCATCTATGTCTATGCCTTCGAAGGCAGGATTGACCTCCTCAAAGCTGTCATCATTGGAGCTGCCGGAACTCGTTACCACCACGGCCTCTTATTCTTCAACCTCTTTTTCCCTTCCACCTATCCCAGCTCACCTCCCCAAGTGCATCATTATAAGAAAAATTTTAAATACACCGAATTCAATCACAGAATTGGACTCAGATTAGGTGGGAATCATTAAATGTGTGGGGGTTTCTAAGACGGGTTAACTTGAGCCCACTAAATTAATTGGGCCCAATCGAAACCCAATCGGAAAGCCCAAAAATTGGTGAGCTTGGAGAAATTACAACCAAATGGGCCCAAGTAAATTTTATTGAACAAGCCCATAAGAAAGCCAACAAATTGGGCCAAGGAAGACCTATCAAGCATATATCTCTAAAGAGAGTCCAACAAGCCCATCCGAGGAGGCTCAGATCATACAGGCGTCCGAGGAAGTTAACCATTGTTTTTAGAAGAGATGAACCCTCGGAGGAGATTTATTCTCCGAGGTATTGGCTTAGTCTTGAAAGGGTTCGGAACCATGAACCTAGAGATCTATTTGAGCTCGGACTCAAAAGGGTTCGAATCTACGAACCTAGAGATCTGAAGTACTTGGCTTCGAACAAATTCGAACGCAATTTAGAAGTCGCTCCGTTAATGAGTCCTAAAGCACTTGCGGGCTCAGAGCTTTTCGGGATCTACGCACCAGAACCATGGACGTGATGGAATTCAAACAAAAGACTCAATCCCAAGGACAGTGAGTGGAGATAAATTCACTCTCTGGTTAAACTAGCCTATACACGGGTCGAGGTGGCACAATTTAGGGGGTCCCTAAGACTCGGCAATATTTGTAGCAAGGCGTTCTCTTGAACCCCTGACCCTTCTGCAACATGGCGTCCTCTAGGACTCCCCTTCACCCTTTGAGATGATTGGAGATCATTGGTTAGGTGTGGCTAAGCAGAAGGATTCGCCGAGAGGTTGATCTCTTCTTCGAGGTTTTCCTCATCCTCGAACAAGTGGTTAAAGGGAATGTTCCCCATGTGCTGTGCCTATAAATAGCAGTTGGGAAAAACTACTCACGTTACATAATTTCACATTGCATATCGCAAAATTATGAGATGAACAAAACAAACCTTCAATCCCAAAAAATATAACATGCTGAATAAAATATAGATAAAATATAAAATGGTTAAAGGAAGCAAACCGAAACCTGTGTGATACCACAGTCTCCTTAAAATAGATTCACTGCCTCACCGTTGGGTGCTGGAGGTACGCCAGCGTCTACTTCCCAGGATACGATGGTTTTTACCAGTAACAACCGAAGCACCTTCTGATTAGCTTAGCGAACTAACAATGACAGCATTCTCTCTTAGGAAGAAAATTATAGGAGAAGTAGACTGACAGGGTATGGATGCCAAAGAAAAATACTATATCTCTTTTCAAGGAATAGGGCCTCTTTTTATACACCATGGGGGAGAGAGGAGGAGCCTCTAGCCATCAAGGCTGGCAACTAATGCTAGCAAAACTGCCCAATCAATTTTGTAAAACTGATGAGCCCTAAATGTGTAAGTTATATACACATTTATGAGGCAATTTCTCATTCAACCATTTTTCTCCAACAATCCCCCATATGAATAAAAATTGACCGAATACAGCAAACGCTCAACGTTTATCAACAAAGACTCGGAAAGAGAGAGAGAGAGCACACAGATTAACCCTGCATCAGAAAAGGTAGCTGTTGGCCTTGAACCTTTCGTAGTGAAAGCCTATCGGATTGACTGGCTGACCAGTGAATGTGATGTCTTGAACTGTTCTGCCGTTTATGTAAACCGAGACAATAGACCTCACACAGGAGTTAGTCCAACCATTGTTCTTGTTCTCACTGGTGTGTCCGGTATGGCCCTGGAACACTAGCCTGGTTCTGTGAGTGTTTTTAAAGAATTCGGCCTTGGCAATTTTTAAAGAAGCGGCCCCACTTCGCACTCACATAGGGGACCTAGATACGGTAGTTCATTATACCACATCACTAAGGTCATTAAAAGCATTAGCTTAACCTTCCACCCCCACAGGGCATCACTGTATAAAGGAATGGGCAAAAGGATTTACCTCTTCAGTGACTTCACTCGTTACACGAGTTAGGTTGTCCCTTTGAACCTAGATCTTGGGATCTCAGTCAAACTAGGTTGGGTTTCTATTCTGGTAACTTCCAAAGGCCTTAACCCCATTCCTTTTGACGACGTTTCGACTAACACTCGATTTAACCCTTTGGTTAGCGGATCCGCAATGTTGTCCTTAGACTTGACATAGTCTAGAGAGACAACTCCATTTGAGAGTAGTTGTCGTATGGAATTATGTCTACGACGGATATGTCTAGACTTTCCATTATATATATTACTCTGTGCCCGACCAATCACTGATTGGCTATCACAATGAATACTGATAGCTGGCACAGGTTTCGGCCAACGTGGAATATCCTCAACAAACTGGCGAAGCCATTCAGCTTCTTCAGTTGCTTTATCTATAGCAATAAACTCAGATTCCATCGTTGATCTCTAGATACACGTTTGCTTGGCAGATTTTCAAGACACGGCTGTCCCTCTGAGGGTAAACACATAACCACTAGTGGATTTGGAATATTTTATATCAGATATCCAATTTGCATCACTATACCCTTCTAGTACCGCTGGGTATCTGGTATAATGCAGCCCATAATCTAGGGTGTAACGAATATACCCCAACACCCGCATAATGCCCTTCCAATGAGTAGCATTAGGATTACTCGTGTATCTACTCAGCCTACTAACAGCGTAGGCGATATCCGGCCTTATACAACTCATCAGATACATCAAACTCCCAATGACCCGAGAATATTCTAGTTGAGAGACACTCTCACCATTATTCTTGGTCAAATATAGATTTAAGTCTACCGGTGTCCTAAACGTACTTGTATCTGACTTTCCAAATTTCTCAAGTATCTTATTAACATAATGAGCTTAGGAAAGTACAATACCACCAGATGTTCTGGTGATCTTAACACCCAGAATGACATCTGCAAGGCCCATATCCTTCATGTCAAACTTAGAGTTTAACAATCTTTTGGTAGCTTTAATCATTTCATCATTGCTACCAACAATGAGTATGTCATCAACGTATAGACACAAAATGATATAACCTTTGTCAGTGTCTTTAATATATATGCATTTATCACACTCATTGATTCGAAACCCATTGGATAACATAGCATTGTCAAACTTCTCATGCCATTGTTTGGGAGCTTGCTTCAAACCATACAATGACTTGACAAGCTTACAGACTTTCTTACTTTGTCCTGGAGCTGAAAACCCCTCGGGTTGCTCCATGTAGATTTCTTCATCTAAATCTCCATTTAAGAAAGCTGTCTTTACATCCATCTGATGTATTTCTAAACCACGTAAAGCTGCTATTGCAATCACCATGCGAATGGATGTAATCCTTGTCACAGGTGAATACGTATCAAAGTAATCCAGGCCTTCTCTCTGTCTGTATCCTTTGATAACTAGTCGAGCTTTATATTTGTCAATTGACCCATCCGCTTTCATCTTTCTTCGAAAGATCTACTTACTCCCCAAGGCTTTATTGCCTGGGGGTAGATCAACCAACTCCCAAGTATGGTTCTGTAAGATGGAGTCAATCTCACTCTTAATTGCTTCTTTCCATAAAGGACTTTTAGGTGAAGTCACAGTTTCATGGAACGTTCGAGGTTCTCTCTCTAACATGTAAGTCAAGAAGTCTGGACCAAAGGACTTTGTGGTTCTAGCCCTTTTACTCCTTCTTGGCCTATCTACTTCATCAGCTTGATCATCTACTTGATCAGTTATTTGATCAGCTGTTTGATCATCCATTTGATCATCTACGTGATCATATATGTGATCATTATTATCATCAACATCTTCTATTTGTTTCATGGAACTCGAAACCTTGTCTTGGGGACGACACGAAAATACATCTTCAAAGAAAGATGCACTTCTAGATTCCATGGTAGTGTTCTTGTGTATATCTGAAATATCAGACTTGTGCACAAGAAATCTATATGCACTACTATCTTGTGCATAACCAATGAATATGCAGTCTACGGTTTTCGGACCTATCCTAACTCGCTTGGGTGTAGGTACCGCTACTTTTGCAAGACACCCCCACATTCGTAGGTATTTATATGAAGGCTTGTGACCTTTCCACAACTCATATGGAGTCTTGTTCACTTTCTTCCGTGGTATTCTATTAAGAATATAATTCACGGAGAGAATTGCTTCCCCCCCTAAGTTCTGTGGCAACCCAGAACTTATCAACATTGCATTCATCATCTCTTTCAGCGTCTTGTTCTTCCGCTCAGCAACACCATTTGACTGAGGCGAATAAGGCGCTGTGGTTTGGTGAATAATCCCAAATTGAGCACAAGTCTCGGCAAACGGAGATTCATACTCACCACCACGATCACTTCTCAATGCCTTGATTTTCTGGCTTAATTGATTCTCAACTTCATTCTTAAAAAGAATAAATTTATTAATAGCCTCGTCTTTGCTTTTAAGCAAATACATATAACAATATTTAGTGCAATCATCAACAAAAGTGATGAAGTACTTGTTGCCGCCACGCGATTGTACAACTTTCAAGTCACACACATCACTATGCACTAAACCCAAAGACTGGGTACTTCTTTCAATAGAATGAAAAGAAGACCTTATTAATTTTGCTTCTACACAAGTTTCACACTTGTGTTGTGGATTAATCTTGAAAGATGGTATGTGATCTAACTTGATTAATCTACGTAAAGAGTTAAAATTTACATGACCCAATCTACCATGCCATAAATTAGGGGACTTAAGCATATAAGCAGAAGAAGAAGCTTTCTCATTAATCTTAGGGATAAGTGTCATTACATTCAATTTAAACATACCACCTGACATATATCCCTTCCCTACATAGACCCCACCCTTGGTCAACATGACCTTGTCAGATTCAAACACCATGCGGAAGCCATGCTTGCTTAGGAGAGACCCCGAGACAAGGTTCTTACGAATGTTCGGCATATAAAGGACATCGTTCAAAGTCAGTTCTTTTCCTGAAGTCATCTTCAGGATCACCTTGCCATTACCCTCAACAGCTGAGGTTGCAGAGTTTCCAATAAACAACTTCTCCCCGTTCGAAACTGGTTTGAAAGTTGTGAACATTCTCTTCTCTGCACAAATATGGCGAGTGGCCCCAGTGTCCATCCACCACTTCCTCGAGCTTGACCCCACCATGTTCACTTCTGACACGACGGCTGACAGATGCATGTCATCCACATCGTGTGACAATTCCTCCATTTCAGCCATATGTGCCCGGTTTTTGTGTTGCGGAGAGTTTTTCCTATAGGGCTTCTTCTTCAGACAATCAACTGCCTGATGCCCGTCACTTCCACAGTTGAAGCATTTGCTATTGAACCTAAAAGTAGGCTCCTTTGGCTTGTAGGCTGGCCTTTTGGAGATTCCTCCTCTAGCCTCCAACTTTGAGCTTTTGCCTATCGGTGGTTTTTTCCTCGCCCCCAAGGACTCACCATGCTCAACCATGTTGGCTTTGACAGTGGAGGTACTCCCTCATTTCTTCCTGTTGTCCTTTTCAATTCGGAGCCTGACAACGAGCTCTTCGACTGTCATCTCCTTTCGTTTGTGCTTCAAGTAGTTCTTGAAGTCTTTCCAGTCGTTAGGCAACTTCTCAATCAAAGCAGCTGCCTGGAATGACTCACTTAGGACCATCCCTTCTGCATGTATCTCGTGCAGAATCACTTGGAACTCTTAGACTTGACTCATGACAGTTTTGGAGTCCACCATCTTAAAGTCCAGGAACCGGCAGACGATAAATTTCTTTACCCCAGCATCCTCGGTCTTGTACTTTTTGTCCAAGGCATCCCATAACTCCTTAGCTGATTTCTTAGCATAGAACACGTTGAAAAGCGGGTCCGCCAAGCTGTTCAGAATGTAATTCCGGCATAAGAAGTCTGCTTGTTTCCAAGCGTCTAGAGCCATGAGCTTTTGTTTATCTTGCTCATTCTCCTTTACGGCTGGTACATCTTCACTCAGAAACCTCGCAAGGCTTAGAGTAGTCAAATAAAACAGCATCTTCTGCTGCCATCTCTTGAAATTCACTCCCGTGAATTTCTCCGGGCGCTCGTGATGATTGAGCGGTCCTCCCGGAACAGCTGGAGTAACAACAGGAGGATTGACCACAGAGGTCACAGTAGGGGTTAGCAAGCCAGTCGCCCCGGGGTTCAGATCCCCACCAACATTAGCAGCAGCAGCAGCATCAGAGACAGTTGCCATTTCTGAAAAATTACAGCAGAATTTTCACTATTATGTATTTCCAGAAATCAAACTTAACACTAGAAAATCCCACAAATGGAAATTTAATTCAAAACTAGTCTCACCACGCAACCTAGAATCGAACATGGTCAGGAAAGTTTCCAAGAAGACTGGAGGGGTCATACCGGTCCCACTTAAAACCCAGTTAACCTTAGACAAAACTTTCAAGAGCATGTTGACTCCTAGTCCATGAGAAACAACTTTAAGAATTAAATTTTTCAAGGGATGAACTAGGTTAAACACACCAAGTTCCAAACTATACAAGCAATTACAATTGCATCACATTATAAGCAATTACAACAAAATTGCTACAATAATTACAAGCAAATAAAACTTGCCTTACATATTTAGTACAAATTAATCCTTTTTTCCCATTCCCATAGGTATTCCTGCAATAAAGAGTTAGCAGCAAAATACAACAAAACCTCCCTCAGCTTTTCTTTGCTTTTGGCAAAGTAGTGATTGAAGGGGAGGGTACTATCAAACAAAATAATGAATAACTGTAAGTAAAGATTAAAATCAACCCTTAAGTTACGCATCTAGAATTTAAACAAAAACTATAAAAAAATTAATTACATAATAAACATGTAATTAATTATATAAGTTACAAACCCAAAATTAAATATAATTAAACCATATTTCAAATTGGTAAGGTTACATATGAACTTATGGTACACTAAACATGTAATTTATTGAGGCAAGCTATAAACATTTTATAACTCCTACACACTTAAATCACATTACTAGGCAAGAATTGCAAATGACATGATTAACATGCAAATAATTCTAGAGAAATTAACATGAATTTAAATATAGGCAAGTTATAAACTTTACAACTCCACGCCTAAATTAAAAATTAATAGGTACAAGTAACATGATTTACTACCTAATAAACATGCTAGAAATGTAAATTACACTAAAAATTAAACCCAAATGAACATGTAATTTATATTGTAAACTAGAAGCATGTGAACTAGAAACATGTCAATCTAGAAATACAAGGTATGAATCGGTACACCATAAATTAATAAATTAATCAGAAAATACAGTGAATTAACGTTGCACCAATAGAACTCTTCTTCCCTATTGATAACAGTGGCTTATTACATGCAAAATTATTACACACACCTATGAATCTATTAATCTAATTCTATGATAAACGTCGAATCTATTTTAAGCTTGTTGGGAAAAACTACTCACATTATATAATTTCACATTGCATATTGTAAAATTATGAGATGAACAAAACAAACCTTCAATCCCAGAAAATATAACATGCTGAATAAAATACAGATAAAATATAAAATGGTTAAAGGAAGCAAACCGAAGCCTGTGTGATACCACAGTCTCCTTAAAATAGATTCGCCGCCTCACCATTGGGTGCTGGAGGTACGCCGGCGTCTACTTTCCAGGATACGACGGTTTTTACCTGCTACAACAGAAGTACCTTCTGATTAGCTTAGCGAACTGACAACGGCAACACTCTCTCTCAGGAAGAAAATTATAGGAGAAGTAGACTGACAGGGTATGGATGCCAAGGAAAAAAATACTATATCTCTTTTCAAATAGGGCCTCCTTTTATACACCATGGGAGAGAGGTGAGGAGCCTCTAGCCATCAAGGCTGGCAACTAATGCTAGCAAAACTGCCCAATCAATTTTATAAAACTGATGAGCCTTAAATGTGTGAGTTATATACACATTTATGAGACAATTTCTCATTCAACCATTTTTCTCCAACAATATCATCCATTCATAGCTTTACAAGGGATGGATTTTGGAGAAATAACTCTTGGGAAAGAATTAATTTCCCCTTCTCCATTACCTACATTGAGAGTGAAAGTGGGAGATCTATGGGAGAGCCTTGCCATTTTTCTCTCTCTAACTACTTTGCCTTCTTCTTCACCTAATCTCTTATCTCCATCATCTCTTTGCTATTGTGTTCCTAGTTGTGACTGTTGAAGAATCTAAGTCTCTCATCGTTTCTAGAGAATTCAAGTTTTCTTCAAAGATCTTCGAATTTTCCGACAACATTCTTAAACTCTCTCATACAAGGTCTCACCTTGAAAGAATCGTGTTCGATTTTGCAATTGGATTCTATGCACTTAAAGGAAGTCCTGTTACATTAAAAATTTTGTTACAAAATTTATTTTATGTATTTAATGTGGCACAAATGCCAATAATTATGAGATTAGCTTAGGGCATGTATATACATCGCACCTGCGCATGTGTATGCCAACATGGCACAATGCATATGATCAAGATTGTGTCGTGATTAATTTATTTTAAAATAAAGTCAAAAACATTGAACTATAACCTACTATATAACAATTATCCTGTAAGTGAATTGTTTTGAATCTAACAACAAAAACTCTTTCAAGTGGGGGCAATTATCACCTGAAAACTAATCTTTCTAATTCACTTCAAAAATTCGCCTCAAAATCGTACATTTTTTTTCCTGATTCTAATATATTTTTCTGTACATCCCTAACAGGTGCATTACCTTTCACACGGTCTCCGAATAAATCCAAACCTGTACACAAATGGTTATGTCTGTTTGAGCCTAATCAACACTTGGGATGGCAACAACCAAGGAGATGGGACCATTCCATATCGATCATTCTCCAAGTCCTCCTTTCTCTACAAGCACTCGTGCTTAACAAAGAACCCTACATCAACGAACCAGGTTACGAAAAATCAAATCCAAAGTACAATCATGTGGAATCAATGACTTATAGCAACAATGTTTTCATATTGTCGTGCAAGACAATGCAGTACTTGATCCAAAAACCACCTACGAATTTTGAGACCTTTGTTGCTAGCCATTTTCGCTCGTGTGGAAGCCTTGTATTGAGAGCTTGTAATGTTTATAGGGAAGGTAGAGTGAGAGTTGGTTGCTACAAGAATGATGAGTCTTCTTCTTCATCTTCTTTGACTGATGTCATTGAAATTTCGAGTAAATTCAAAGAGGATATGGATTTGATCTATCCGAAACTTGTTGAGGCTTTTATTAGGATTGGAGCTTGTATGGAGGTCATGAATGAATTGAAAATGGTTAGTCTAAACAAGCGTGAAGTGACCGAGAAAATCAGCAAAAACTTTTTGCGACGTCAAGAAACGCTAGCTTTCTTAAACAATTCCCTCCCATTCAAAGTAGAATGTAGTTTATATGCTTGATTTATTTCAGGGGCAAATTACTGATAGTTTTTATCTTTTGTGATTTTTATCAATTTGGTCATATCATTTTCAATTTGCTTGATATTTCTTTAGATTTTTTTTTTTTGGATCAAATTGATAATGGGTGTTGTTACATTTTTGGCTGGAAAATGATTCTTGGCCCATCATGACCATTTTTTAGGGTAAAGTTGACATTTCACACACTCTTTTGAGAAAAGGGAAAATATGTATCAGTGCAATTCTTAAAAGTTAATTACTAATGTTTTTTCATTGATTACAATTTTTCATTATTTGGGATAGTGGTTGCTTTTGGTTATTTATTTTTTATTTATTTATTTTTTTTTCGGTTGATTTTTCACAATGATTGTTTGGGATAATGGTTGATCTTCGCAATGGTTATGGGCTGATCTTCGCAATGGTTGTCGCTGATTTTCGTTGATTTTCAATTTCGGCCTTTGTTTGTTGTTTGGCCTTTGTTCGCAATGGTTGTTTGGTCATTGTTTGGTTGATGTCTCTGTGAATGCTTATCTCAGGTTTGATGGATTGCTTTAAAAAAATATATTTGATTATTATTTTTATTTATTGCTTGATTTTGTTTAAAAAAAAATTATTTGTAAGTAACAACAAAATAAGAAACAATAATATTTATGATGATGGTGAATTTTGGTGGGATGGATGGGAGTTTTAGAGTAAAAAAGAGGATGAAGAGAAAAAATAATTAAAATTTAGGGAAGAAAATGAAAAGACTTAAATATGAAGAACAAATATAAGTGATTAGAGTGTACCATAAAAAAAATATTTTAGGATTTAATATGTATATTGTCCTTATTAGTAAGGGGTTGTTTGGGGTGTCATAAATAAGTGCACTTTTTGTCTTTTTGAACTAAAAAATTGAGAAAAAAAATATGGATGTTTGGGTTAAATTTTTGACTTTTATGGAAAAATGTGTATTAAAAAATTGTATAAATTAGTGTATAGGGGAAAATTAGGATTGAGAGTTGTGCAGCCGTAATTTTTGACTTTTGGTGAATAGTGATAACTTTTTAACTTTTTAAGTAATTTTTTGGCTTTTGAGTTTTTTGGCAACTTGCCAAACTTGGCCTAAATTTATATTAGGGTATAATAGGAACTAAAATTTAAAAGTTTTAGGTTGTGTTTGGTGTGAGTTTATAATCAAATTTTCACCCTTATATTTGAATGCTATGTTTGGTTTTAGTTTTCAAAAATCAATTCCATCGCCACATTTTGAATACACATTCCAATACATGTTTTTTTGAATCTTGAATTTGCGAATTGGGTCGTCCGCCCGGACGTCCGACCAGTTGACCGAAATAGTTTTTTTTTTTTTTTTTTTTTTTTGGGTTGCAATTACAACCTATTATTTGAAAACAAAAAAATTTATATTTGTTTTTGATATTTCATAAATATAGAAATTATTTTTTTAGATCATTCAGACTAAACATTTTAAAAAAATTTCGAACCAAACATACAATCAAAAGTAATTTTAAAACACTAGCTAAATGTTTTTTTTTTAATATTTTAAAGAAAAAAATATTTTCGGAATTTTTTAATTTTTTTTTTAAAAATTACTTTTTTCAATAATTATTTTTTTGAATTAAATTTTTAAAAGAGTTTAGTTATGAGTTTGGAATAGAATTTTGAGTTGTGTCTTTAGTTATGAGGTATAAGTTTTTCAATCGAGTTTTGAAAAAACTCATAACCAAAATTTTTTTTTATTTATTTTAAAACTTTTTGAAAACTCTTTTCAAAATTCACAACCAAATAAATTTTTTCTTTTCAAATCATAATTCAAAAACTCAAAAACTCACAAACTCAAAATACAACTCCACACCCAAATTATAATTATAAAACTCAACCAAACGCTACCTTAGTTGGGCGTACTGAGTTACTATCGGGTGCAAATAGAATCACCCGAATAAAAATGAACAATAGTGTTATTCTAACCAAAAAATTAGATCCAGTTTCTAAACTCAATGATGTGGAACTCTACTTAGAATATCTAAGTCAACCCTGTCTCTCTCTGTCTCTCTTATTTATTTTTTCATTATCAACTAATCATCTTTTATACATCATTTGGTCTAAAAAGTGAATTTAAAAAGTGGACTTTGATGGGTTGTTGAACACACCAAAAATAAACCCTAAACTATACAAAATTCCTTAGAATAATGGTAAGTCCAGGTATAGATCCATAAGGACAAACGGAAATTAAACTAATTTAATTGTTAAATTCCTAAATTAATTTTGATAAAAAGATGGTTGTTTAAAACCTAATGATAATTAAATTAAATAAAGCAAACAAACTAACAAACATAAATAAAGATGAATTTACTAATTTTGGAAAAAAACTTAGGGTAATAAATTCACCACTAATTACATAAATACGGTTTCAATTTGAAAATCAATTATGTTACAGTTCGAACGAAATAATACTTCGCAACTACAAGCTTGAAGCATTTATCAAGATAATTAATACGTTCAATGTATAGGCAAGAACCATCTCAAGTAGTACGAGTCGTTCGCTCTAAACTAGCGTGGCAACACGACTTGTCCATCATAGTATGGCTCATCTTATACGTTGAACATGAAAGAATAGAAAACCATTGTATGGAAAGTATTCAACAATTACAGAAAGTAAAATACCCGAAGAAATAATAAAAAAATATATTAGAAAACTTCTTAAGAACCATAAAATTGTTCAAACCATTACATAAAAGAAAGCCGAAAAGAAAACCTATTTCCTTGGCTAGGGTTTCACCAAAATCCTAAAAAAAGAAGCCTAGTCACTCATGGAAGAGTGGGAAGAGGTGGAGGGAGAAGAAACCACATGGGAGACATTCTTCAAACTTCAAGTTCTTTTTCCTTCCAAACCTTAGCCTCTCTCTCCCTTTCAAAATTATCAGAACTCTAATCTAGCCTTTTTCTATTTTTTTATACCTCTGCAATTTTTTCCATATTCAAAACATTAGGCACGCTTCCTGAGGTACTTCCTCACGTGCGAAAAATTCCACTACACGTGCAGCGAGAGTTCCGCACATGCGGGAATGGGCCTTCACACGTGCGATTTCCTTAGGCTCTGTTTGGCTGCGATGGATGGGTCGCACGTGCAGGAATGGTCCTTCGCACGTGCGGAAGCATTTTTCTCTAAACCTTCTGTATTTTTGCTCATTTTATACTCCCACTGTATCTAACCTGATTGACATTAAATCGGTATAAAATATATAATTTGATAGGCAAGTAAAGTTAGGAGATCCTAGTTATCGGCCTTAGTGTTCTACAATTCGGCTTCAATCAGACTTATATATCATTTTCCAAAAATAAATGTTCGGGCTACTTGGTTTAGAAAGGATATAACATAAAATTTATGCTATGTTTTAGACTTTTCCATGTTTTAGAAAATATTTAACCAGTTTTCAAAAAATTCATCTCAGGATTTTTATCTTTTCTCATTTTTAAAATTCAAAAAACACACACCAATAAATAAATATAACAACAAAGTGGCACTATTGGGCTACCAAAAAAATACGTAGTCCTTAACCATTTCCATTTATTATGAACTTGAATTTTAAAGAATCATAAATTTCAAAAAAAAAAAAATTATGATTATAGAATATTTGAAAAGGGAAAGAAAAATGAAAAAGACAAATTTAACTTATATTTATTCACATCTGTTTAACTTTTTTATTTTCTCTTTTTAAATCTTTTACTCAAATTCATGATCTAAGCATATCTTAAAAGGAGCACCTAACAAAATTCTGTTGAATTATTTAAAAAAGTCACATTCTGTTGAATTATTTAAATAATTTCAAATGGTGTCTTTTCATGCACTAAAAAAATATATCTACTGACCATTGTCATCTTAAGCACCTAACAAAATTATAAAATAAAATAAAACTCATAACTTAAACATGTTATTGGATATTGTTCAAGTTGAGCTCAATTGTTGTAGACTACAGTTCAAGCTCGGCTTAAGATCGAGCGATTTTAAAGACTACATTCAAGCTTGGCTTGTCTTTGAATTTCTTTGATCAGACAAAATTCGGCACGACTCAACTCGCTTTGGATGTTCAACCTAAACTCTTCCGCATCACAAACAACATAAAGATTTCTTTATAGATATTTTATTTTTTAATTACATCTAAATTAGATAAAAAAAATATTTGACTAAAATATTAAAAAGATTCACTAATAATAAAAAAATTAAAATTAAAAACTCAAAATCTGATTTTGAAAACTAGATAACTAAACAAATTTCTTCATATTTTTTCTTTTAAAAAACACTTAAAAAAAAAAAAAGAAGTTTAGACTTCTTTCAAGTTCACATCTCAACTTGAGAGAACTTGAGGGGCTCGTGGAGTCTACCATGAATCTTGTTTCGATAATACAAACCGTTCATTTTCTTGAACTTGCCATATATATTATCTATGAAAAAAAAAAATAGGCCGATTCAATAACTGTTACTTTTTCATTTTATCGTATTTGTTTTTGAAAAATTGAATTACAGTCTACTTGTTTGGTTTGAATCTCTTTTTTGAAATTAAATTTTTTGTTTTTTGTTTTTTTTTATTTTTAGTGATTTTTTTAAAATTTTAAGTAATTTTTTTTATATTTTAGATACATTAATATAAATATACTTAAAAAAGTATAATATTTGTGATTTTTTAAAAAAAATTCACTAAATACTAAAAATATGGGAAAAAAAAAACAAAGATTCACATTTTCGTATTTTTGTGTATTTATTAATTTTTATAAATATTTTATTTTTTAGATATATTTAGGTTCACCACTACCATCTCACCTACTCCACTAAACCTAACCCACTACACCACTACCATCTCACCTACTCCACTAAACCTAACCCACTACACCACTACCATCTCACCTACTCCACTAAACCTAACCCACTACACCACTACCATCTCACCTACTCCACTAAACCTAACCCACTACACCACTACCATCTCACCTACTCCACTAAACCT